TCCAATGGTCTCACTTCTTAGGCGACTGGGTCACTCGTCCGAGAGACTTTAATTCCTTTAGGTTGGAAGAAATATTAAAAGAGACATAACATGCTAAAGCAGTCCAGTGAGGTATCTATCAACCATGGCCAAAGCAATACGACAGCCAAACTTCACGTTAAAAATAAAAAATAAATAAGAAATGACACCCGATCGATCCATTTGAATTCATGATTCTCATCTAATTTATGCAAAGAAACACACTCAAACAAACAAATTAAAGTCAAGTCAGCATCTACTACTTACTGGCAACAAAAGTATGATTGATCCCAACACAATGTGCTAGCAATAATATCTACGACATGGAAGAACTTATTAGGTTTCAAGTTATTTCTTTGCCACATAAATTGTTCATCGTGATAATCTTTTTAGTAGTATAATATTTAAAGAAAATCAAGGGTTCTTTTCTGTTGTCCTTCCTTATTAAATATGCATGTCTCCATCTACTTGTTTTCTTACAATTCCCAAAATTCGATCTGTTATTTATGAATATTCTTGAGTAGATCATAATCTATTGATTTGCCTGTTTTGGACTATTCTTTTTTCATGTGATGTGCCCATGAGATAATAATGTCCCTCTCTTTATCATCAATACTTCCAAGTAATTAAATTTGATACCTTCTTTCTTTTCTTTTTTTCCTTAATTTTCTTTTAAAGATAATATCTATATTATATATAGTCGCTTCCTCTAATCCTCTTCATTCCAAATGCAAGAATTTTCCATCTTTAGAGGTAGGCATCATACAGAAGCGTCAATGACCATCTGATCTTTATCGTGCGGACCACTATTCACATGGTCAAATAAATGGGATACGACAACTTATAACTCATGCCCATTGGATTGAATTGATCTTGCGTGGCACCACCTTGACACAGACAGCTAGGCATGATCATCGTACAGGTTATGTGCACACGTGGCTTAAGCGGTACATGTGGTCCGTGGGTCCGTTCTGATCATGCAGATGCCCATACCTTAGCCATGTGGTGTTAGGTTACGAAATAGTGATTGAAGCCAAACATATATGCATACAAGGTGGGTGTATTATTGCAGGTTAGGGGGTGAGAGAAAGGGAAAGGTTGGAGAAGATAGGATCCAACTAAGGTAGGGACTCGTGAGAATGAAGTATGGTTGCAGCGCCTATGAACTTTCCCAGTTACTTATCTCGTAACGAGCACATGGACCCATTTTAAACTTTAGACCAATAACTATATACACAGATGGGTCCTGATCAATTTTATTCAAAGTTTTCTCCTAATAAGCGTTTGTGTGGATGATGTATATGGTAAGACCGAAGAACATGCCCCACAAATCACAATTGCTTGGAAATTTGAATCTGTAGAAGTCTAATTGTTCTTTAAATTTTAGCAATTGTTGCTGGAAAATGACCACTTTTAATTTTACTAGAAAAACTTAATTGCTGCTATATAACTAGCTAGGAGGCTCCTTAACTGCTAGTCCCGTACGTATTGTTGAAACGGGTGTTGAATGTCATTTCTGTAATTAATTTTTATTTTTAAAATATTTTTCATGGTTGTGAAAAATTGTGCAATTCAAATCAACAAATAGGTTAAAATTATTTAAAACCCACTCTTTGAGGACTGAGAAGGAAACAAAGGGAAGCAGGTGATAGTTGTTCGTTTCTCCGTTGTTTTTTTCTCTACCCATGTTCGATCTCTCAGCAACTATACAAACGTTATCATCAGCTTATACATGGAACTTTTTTTTGATTTAAAAAAAAAAAAGTTCATACAGAACTTGAAGGCTTCATTATAAGAACCTAAGAGAAAATACATTAACTAAATTACGAAATTGTATAGTTATTATAATTGTTTTTTTGTTTTACATCGTCGTACCAATTTTGACAAATTACATATGTCACAGTACATACAGTTGACAAATACGTGAATGTAATTATATAAAAAACTTTTTCATTTGTAATTTTAATGGTATCCAAATGCAGAATATTGACCTTCTAGAATTTTATACTAGGTCAGTCAGATTTTTGCATGCTCGGGAACATTACAAGAACATGTCATTAAATTGTGGATGAATTATTTTAGATTTGTTAAATTGCAAAACCAAAGATATCAAGATAGTAAGCAATTTGGCACTCAAAATAATTTAATTAATAATTGAGATATAAAAAATTCTATGTTAATTAATGTAGCACATGCACGTGAATGCAAGAAAATGGACAACGGTAAAATAAAATATATCTTAACCCAAAACACGATAATGATGGACCTTTTTGTTGGGCATGATAATGAAAATGATATGAGGAGGCCAAACAGAAATTACCTATACGGTGCTGTCCTCGTGTGCTTGGCTTCATTCTCCTGCGTACATGGGGGCCATGCCTCTAATTAATTTGGTATCAAACTATTTTCTTACTTACAATCAAATCCAAAAAAAAAAAAAAAAAAAACAAAAACTACTGTGGATTAATTGGTAACTATGAAATTCTTCAAAAAAATTCTCTCATTATTATTTATTTATTTATGCAGGCATCATAATAAATATGTTAAAATGGACCAACTCGAATGCACGAAGGATTCATTTAAATTAATTGACTAAGGTTAATGAGATTCGATCCTCTGATTACAGAGTGTATATATATATATATTTTCAGTGCATTTATAATAGCAAATTAAGTCACACCTCACTGATCAAAGAGAGAAATAAAAATAAAAGTCAGTAATTCAATAGTTTGAACGAAATGTTTGTTGAATAATTAGTTTGAAAAGAAAATATTCCAAAACGATAATGTATCCTTCCAAAATTTATTTCAGGTGAAAATTTGCAGCTGGGATCGATACCTAGCTCATATTTCAGACAAGGTAATTTCTTTTTTCTTTTTTTTCATATCTATTTTTGTCGGTAAACAATTAAATTTGTGCAAGTGGGACTTGGACCAAAAATATGTAAACAATGGTTGAAATAAGAATAAATATATGCAAACAAAAATTAATGAAGACATTGAGATTGAAGGAGAGAAAGGTCATGATCGCTGTAGGGTAAACCGCAGACACAAGCCAGGGAATTGGACCAACAACGGCTGGGACCATTAAGTGGTGAATCGAGACCTTTGAGAGAGACAGTGCAAAAGAATGGCTCTTTTTCCAAATCATGTCATGACAATACCCACATCTATACATCAATTTTTTTTAGGGATGAATCTTGTCAAAGACCCCACGTCCCTCTAATTGCACCGCTTTTTTATTTTGAGCTTTCTGAATTCATGTTATTATGCAGCCTTTTGGTTTCCAGGACTTGAGCTTGGAAGACAAATTGTGATCGTGCCCTTATAATTGTGGGTCTTTCTGGGCTCTGAAGTGATTTTTGACCATCGGATGGATTCTGAATGGGTTTGATGTTTAGTTCGTTCGTTCCTTTTGTGGATTGGGTTGAAGAATTTAGGTTTCACGAGACTTCCCCAATGGCCCAACATTGTCATTGCATGGCATGTCCCACGTGACTCTCAAGTTCTTGCCCTTTATAACTTCAGTTTAACTGTCAGAAATTCAGCGATTAGCCGAAAAATGATCACATGTAAAAGACAACATCATTTTCTATGTCTACTACATAACAAATGGTCCCCGTTGGAGAGATTGAAGTACTAGACTCAAGAACCTTTTTGCTTTTTTTTTTTTTTTTCCCTCTAATTATTTGTACTGGAGAGTTAAAGGGGTTGCCAGTTTTCATTTCACTTTTAGCAGTTAGCACCGAGTTGAAAGTATGAGACATGGCCCATGGGAGAGGAGGTATGAGAGTGAGTAGTTGGGCTAATTTGTAGGGCCGAGGATATATGGCTGCTAAAAAGAGGACTTGACACCAATCACTATTATGTTTGATTTGAATCGTGGGCCCCCAGCATATCAGGCGTATCCTTCTTTCTTTCTGTTGGCTCAGCAACAGTACTGACTACTGAATTCTGCTAGCTGGACTTATCTTTCGGTCCCCTACAGATCATTACAGAACAAGCATTTTTTTTATTTTTGCCCAACGCAAAAGAATAAGAAAACAAGTGACCCAATTAAAAGTCGAAAGCCCGGACAAGCTGCCCAGTCGGCATTATAGCCCATGCTATTCTGGGAAGGTACTACGGCCTTGGCCCAGAAAAAAATGGCATATACTATCTTGAACAAAAAATGAACAGTTACAAGGCTTTTACTTAGCCCACTTCTAGACAGATGGTTGCAATCGGGCGATCAATCTGTATGAAAGCCCATTTTGTGTGTGTATTTTAGATGACAAATGTACCTAGGCTTCATAACTAGCAGGAGACTCTCCCTTTGGTGGCAAAAGGTTATGTAACTGATGAACCATGCCAGCAAAGTTTCCAGTCTAAAGATAGCGAGTCTAATCATACAAGCATATATATATATATATATATATATAAACTAGGAGTGGGACGAGATGTATCTAAATATGAACAACCTATTAGAAAACTCGAAGTCTTTCTTTTTTTAACTTCATAATAATAATGATAATAATTGGATTAAACGAAAATAATTGGGTTAAATAAAACCTTCTATTTCCAATTAAAATGTATAAATTATGTCATGTGCGGTCTATATTTGGAAAAAAAAAAATGAAGAAGAAGAATAAAATCACATCCAACATAGCTTTTTCAAAAACCTTCCTTTCCATTAGATATCAAATTGGCAGATTAATCGAAAGGTTGACTCTAAATCTGAAACGCCTAACTTCGCTCGGTGACTTATTCTTAATGGTCAAGACAAAATTACGGTAGTTATTTCTGTTAAAGGACCAAATGACTGGCACTAAAGGTTACACAACTCTTTTAGCGCCATAAGATACTCGTCAAAATAGCTAAGCCATCAATCTCCAAATAAAGACATTAATCCTCTTACTATATATATAAATTTCTTTTCTTGATTAATCCAACACTAAATTTCTTGATACAGAAGAGAGAAATAAGCATCATCTTCTTCACAACATGCCTTGGGAAAATGACGGTGATAAAACAGAGTTACAAGAAATCAGTGGTCCAAAAAGAAAAAGTTCTGATTTGGGTTCATCACCTGAAACTACATTGCAAATAATCCAGAAGGTACTAAAAAAACTTATATATGGGTTCGCTACATAAACTCATGGTTAGCAGCGAGTTATATCAAAGCAAAGTTAAGGATTACACAAGTAATTAATTCTTTTTTTGCCATATTAACAGTTAATTGCAGAGGTGTTAGGGACATTTTTCGTGATTTTTACGGGTTGTGGAGCAGTGGTGGTCAATAAGATGTATGATGGTACTGTAACATTTCCAGGAATTTGTGTGGTATGGGGTCTAATTGTGATGGTCATGGTTTACTCTGTCGGTCATATCTCTGGTGCACATTTCAATCCAGCAGTAACTGTTACTTTTGCTCTTTTTAGACATTTTCCTTACAAACAGGTTGGCCTTCATTGTTTCTTTCTCAATTAACTATAATTCAAACTGTATCTTAAAAGAGGTGTTTTTTATTTTTATATTTATGTTAAAAATGAAAAATTTGCTCTGACGTGGGCAGAGCACATCACAGGAGAGGGGTTGATTTATATAGATGGATCTTAAATGCTTCTTTTCTTGTACTTGCAGGTACCTTTGTACATTGTGGCACAGTTTCTTGGATCACTTCTTGCCAGCGGCGTCTTATACGTTACTTTTAGCGTGAAAGACGATGCTTTCTTTGGGACAATACCAGTTGGACCCCCAATTCGTTCTTTCGTTGCTGAAATAATCATATCGTTCCTTTTAATGTTTGTTATTTCTGGTGTTGCCACCGACACTAGAGCGGTTAGTAACTCTTACGCCTGCCTCTTCATTTTATTTTTTTACTAAGAAAACGTCCGCTTTAGTCTTTTGTTTATTTGTATTAAGGTATCTTAGGATTGTTTAGCTCTGTTGTAACTTGCAAGTAGAACATCCTCGTTGGTTAAGTATAAAAGAAACACGAAACAATATGTTTATTTCATCATTTGTTTTTATCTGATTTTCTGAAACAATATGTCTTCATTTAAAAAACACTTACATTTTTAGAAGTTGGTCAAAAAAATTTATTTAACTTGCAGACATAACAAAGTCAAATAGAACTATACATGTTTTTATTATGAGATAACATATTTATTTATCCAAAACCAATCTCTTTATCAAACATTGACCAAAACTGCTTAAATGACAAACACCACGATGATGTCTTGCCTTGATCTCAAAAAGAGTGATTACTAATCTCTAATAGAGTATACACAAAATGCGTGCACATAAACTCTACATCTAACAAGCTTATACATTTTTTAAAATTCTTCAATTTTGAACTCTTGCAGATTGGTGAATTAGCAGGAATTGCAGTTGGAATGACAATTATGTTGAACGTTTTCGTAGCTGGGTAATTTCCTTTCGAGCTGCAATCCAATCTGCCCTGTCTTTTGAATAGTAATTGTTTACGTGACTCACATTTTCTTTGTTTGTTTTTTTTTTTGGTCCTTAAAATTGTTGATTGCAGGCCTGTATCTGGGGCATCTATGAATCCTACAAGGAGCTTGGGGCCTGCAATAGTAATGCGTAAATTCAATAGTATCTGGGTTTACATTGTTGGCCCACCCATTGGTACCATCCTTGGAGCCTTCTGCTACAATTTGATCAGATTCACCGATAAACCGCTCAGGGAAATAACCAAGACAGCTTCATTTCTCAAATCCTAAGAATTGATTGTCCTCATATTCACTTTCTTTTAGCCCGCCCCGCCTTACAAACTTGTGATGCACCTTCTACTTTCTACTTTCTATGATATCCTTGATAGATCAGTGCAAGGTAAATAATTTGTACTCGATATGTCAACTGGGTGGCGTTTCTCAAAAAAAAAAAAATAATAATAATAATAATAGTAGTAGTAGTAGTAAATAAATAAGAGAAACATGAATTGTTAGGAAACAGAAATCCTGTTATAGGAATTTCTTTTGGCCGTATAAATGTAATTTTGCTCCTCTAAAATATTGCTGGTGCTTCTATCCAAACTTCATTTTATATTCTATTGTTTGTCTATTCCTGGGTCATGAGGTCATTGGTTGAGTGTCTTTAACAGCCTTTGGACTCACAGACATGCCATGTGGATTGCAGCCATTAAATTTTGGATATTTGTGGCAGACCACATGTCAGAAATAGAAAGTTTAGTGGAAGGAAGATGTAGAAAATGCTCCTTTGCTTTTGGTTCTGTATTGACGTTTCCATTATCTATTCTTAAAGAAACAAAAAGTTGTATTTTAATATTAAAAAATATTGTTAATTAGTTGATCGCTGCTGAGATTTGGTATGTTGCATTGTAATTTGTTGCTAATTTCTATAATAAAGTAATGTAAAGCAAGACTAATTAGTAATGAGAAAAGATCCCTTCTTGTTTCTGTGTCCATCTAAAAAAAAAAATAATTATCATATATGTGACTTTGGTTAATGATAACATGTTAGACCAAAATGTGATCCAATCCATCCTAATTGATAACATCAATTAGCTTCTGAAAATTGTTAAGTTTAGTTTAAATCTTATTAAAATTCTTGACAGGTGCCTTCTGCAAGAAAACAAGAGTTACCAATTCAAGATAACTAGTTTTGGTTATTAATTGGGGCAGATTAGAATACATTTTGGTCAAATCTTGTGAAATAATCACCTAAAACTAAACCACAGGTAGAAATAAAGATGGACGCTAAAAGGGTATTCTTCTTGTATAGTTTTAGAAATTCCAAGATAGATTATTTATTTGAATTTTAGGTAGTATTTTCGGAGCTGCACGTACGTTCTTTTTAACTATGACGCTCTGCTTGCCACTTGTGCCCGCAAATCATAGAGCCGGGTATGATATCACTAAGGATCTAATTATTATTGCTTAATCGTAGTGCAGTTTCTGGAATTTCTTCAAAAGGAGTTATTGGATTTTCAAAATTTTAGGTATGGTTTGCTTATTATAAATGAAAAAATTCTAAATGAAAATAGAGAAATCGAAGTAAAAATTAAAATGACATTTGAATTCATATATTATGTTTAGAATAATGACAAAAAATCATAATCAAATTAAAATTTTTAATATCTAATTTTTAATATTAAAGAAAATAATTAAAAATAATTTTATCACCATGATAATAATAAAAATAATAGAGTTAATTACAGTGATATTGATAGAGAAGAAAGATAAAATTAATGAAAAAGTAATAATAGTAATAATATATTAAAAAAAATAATGTCATCACTGTATAAGGCGATAGTGGAAGAAAAGTGATGATAGAATAAAATTTATTATGATAATGATTGTAAAAATAAGAATAAAATAATATTTTTTTTGAAAAAAATTTCATGACCTCTGTCTATAAAGATCAATTGTGGTAGTAGCAGCAATTGTGGAAATAATGATGATAATAGAAATAATTATTATTTAATAAATAAATAAAAATAAAATATCATTCTTTAAAGAAAAAAACTCACTCTCACTCATTATTTTTATTCTTATTTTTTTTATAAAAATAAAATTATGTTTAATTTTTATTTTTATTTCTATTTTCACCTCATTTCTTTTAATAAAACATCTATAAATTGAAAATAATCATTCACATCATTCTATCCTCGTTAGCACTTCAATCTTTGTATCGCAGCAGCTTTAGTCCAAAATCTCATTAGCATTAGAAATGCATCCCGTGAATTTACTCTTGGTAGTTGATGTGGATGCCAAATAAAGACCCAATCTCTCTTCTTCTTTTTTAGCCATATGATTTAATTTAACAAAATTATGGAGCCACGGATCCGCACCGCCACTGAACCTCTAATACGTAAAGAGTTTAGGTCTAAAAGTAAGGAGGACCTTCATTGGATGATCCCGTCAACGTTATTCCCACAGGACAGTGTAGAGTCTTGAACGCATTAATGAGTTTAGTCACATCCACGAAGAGGAACCAAAAACAACTAGGAGTCACATGAAGCACTTATGCATTATCTGCAAAAACGGATTTCAGTGTATATTGAGGATTTATGATCACTTCATCACATGTCTTGCCAATGTGACACTGTCAACATTCACCATGGCCGGTGTCAAAATGTGAATCTTAAAATGTCGACAGTTGAACCGGTCTGAATAATACTCAGAGGACCCCACCCCTTCCCTTGATACCCAAATTTCAAAATTGATCCCACCTCACCTTCCTCTTTTATTCCTCTAATTTATGGTTGCAGCAATGGATAGACTTTCATACAAGACTTTTATTTTGATATGGATCTCTGACCAAATAGTTTGTACCCGGATGAGAACATTAACTGGGGTATATGGCCGAGCACATGGGTAGTGAGACTTTTGGACGTTTCATGATTTTGGATCCCTTGTCATTACTAGCTAGATTGTGCTTTGCAATATGAAATTATTAGTATTGATGAGCTCATGCTTTGAACTTTTATATGCAATTGGAGTGCATCTGTACCAACCAATTTCAGGCGTATATGAGAAAAATATATGTTGAGATTAGGAAGCAAGTGCGGATCTGAATGCTGGTAGGGTGTCTCTTTCTCTAAAAAGGAGCGGTGGCTTTTTCCATGGATTCACACATATTATTGATCTTCAACGTGCATTGCCAAATGGTGCTTCCAAACATAAGGGTCTGTACCTTCTTCTATAGGATCTGCAATCGTGCAGCTTGGCTGACCTTCCATTCTTCCTTTCCAACAAAATGTAGTCAAGTAGCTAAAAATCATAGAATAGATTATTTTTAAAAAATAGTATTTTAAAAAAATCAAAATACAAATTAAAATTTCAAATAAACTAAAATTCATAGTACATATATATTTCATGAAAAACATTTTCTTACAAAGTATGTTCTTTTTCATTATTTTGTGGACCAGTTATGTAAAGTAACGTTATGACGATATACTAATATATATTATTGAGATTCGGATGATTAAGATTATAAACGAGTCAAATTTAGATCGTATTATAGTAGATTCAAATCTAATTTGTTTAATAAATGAATTGAATTATATTTTTATGAATTCAAATCTAGTTTTTCAATTGTCGATGTAGATCCTAACAAGTTTGGATCGAATTCGGATATTCATCGAAATTATCATTTAAAAAAAATGCTAAAAGATGCAAGTTGCATTCATGATCATTCTTTAATGTCAAAAGAGTTTCAACCACACATATGTAAAAAATATATTTTTTTATTATATTTTACATGTTAACTTAAGGAAAATAATGGGTGTGTCTCACCATTAAAAAGAACTAAATAAAAAAAATTCTAATGAGAATTTATATTAAAGTTTAAATTTAATTTAAATTAGGTAAGAAGTATGACAAATCCAAAAGAAAATAATCAAAATATTACATACACAACTTGACTAACACGAAAAAGTTTGAAATGGACAAAAAAATTCAGATTGGAACAAAACGTAATAGGGTGGAAACACAAGTACAGTAATCGAACAATTCACTGATTTTTTTCCACATATTAATAGAATTTTTCAATAATTAATTTAAGGTTCAAAAAAAAAAAAAGAATTAAAACATATCATGTGATTGTTTGATAAGATAGTTATCATTGTAGAGAATAAAAGAAATAAAAATACAAAATGTTATCGCAATTTAAAGTAAATAAATCTTAAATCTAAACCTAGTGCCATATTTTTTCTATATTTAAATTTGTTTATATTTTGAGAACATTATATTTATTATAAATAATATTAATATTAATTTTGAATCGGATTATTATCCGATTGGATTGAAATAAATATATATTTATCTATTTAATAAGTAGATTAGCAAATTTAAATTATAATCGAACCCAAATCATAGAAATTGTATATTGTATTTAACTATATCAAAACTGGAATCAAATTTAGATTCATTGATAGCCATATGTGAGAGGTATTAACCTCTGTTCGTTAACAACAAACTACTTGATAATTAATGTAAATGCCCTTTTATCTTTTTAGGTAATACTATCTCAAATGATATTGATCCGTTGAAATTGTATATTGTATTTAACTATATAAAAAATCGCATCAAATTCAGATTCACTGATAGCCATATGTAAGAGGTATTAACCTCAGTTTATTAACAACGAACTACTTGATAACTAATGTAAATGCCCTTTTTATTTTTTGAGTTAATACTATCTCAAATAATATCGATCTATTGAGATCTAATAGTAAAGAATTTGTTTTGATTTGATCAAAATTAATATTTGATTTCTATTATTCACTTATAACTAATTATAGTTATCATTTAGTTATACTAGACTTGGATTTATTTGGTTTAAAAGATATCTTAACGATTGATTAAATGCTATATTTATTATAGCGTTTGATTAGTTTAGAAAGTAATGAATTTAATATGAATGGATGTAAAAATTGATCCCATGATATTTTAATCTAAAATTCCAAGGGTTGCTATCGCACGATAGAGGAAACTCAAGAAATGAAGAAAATGAGGACATTGGCACAACTTTATAATAACATAGATGGGGTTAGCACTATTCGATATGATTCGGAAAAATCGAATGATCACCACAAATGGTAGGATAGTCTCCCTATCCGATTTGGATGATCGGGATGAAACGGGATAGTTTACGACGGCGGGAAGATCCGAACTCGGTCGGGGTCAGCTCAAGGCATAGGCCATTAAGGCCTATGCCTAGGGTCCCAATTAAAATTTTACTCTAAACCTACACCCTAAAAGAATGAGATAAATTAAAAGTCATGCAGCCTCCACTTTTACTTACAAAAAAGTTTCGGAAAAATATTTGTGAGTGAAATAATTTGACACTTAAGCCATTATCAAAAACACGTTGGGAAAGTCGTATTGAAAGTGTAAAAGCAATTAGATTTCAAGCTCGAGAAAATAAGAGATGCTTTATATCAATTAGCGAGAAACTAGTGAGGATCCTAAAACAAAAAGTGAAGCTATTTCTTTAGCAACATATGAGATTGAAAATTTTGAATTTCTATTAGGTATGATTATTTGGTATGATATGTTGTTTGCTCGTTAATACGGTTAGTAAATATTTACAATCTAAAGATATGGATATTGCTCTTGCAATAGACCACTTGAAAGGTCTTATTTCTTTTTTTTTTTAAAAGCTATAGAGAAAATGGGTTTACATCTTCTATGATCTTGGCTAAGGAAATTGTAGAGCAAATGAATATAGAACCAAAATTTCGTGAAAAGCGTACAATAAGAAGAAAGAAACAATTTGATGAGATTGAAAATAAAGACATGAAATTATCTATTGAAGAATATTTTAGAATTAATTATTTTACATATTTAGTTGATCATGTGATTTCCTCTCTTCAAAATAGGTTTGAACAATTTAAAATATATGAAGATAATTTTGGTTTTCTTTATAGTGTAGAAAAATTAAAATCACTCGATGATGATATTTTGAAAAAAATTGTTTAAATCTTGAAAATTTTCTAAAGCACGATATGCTTTCCGATATTGATTGTTTAGATTTATTTTCAGAATTAAAAGTTTTAAAAGAAATTATTATAACTATGGAAATGAAAACACTACTTGCCGTACTAAATTTTATAAAAAAGGTAAATTCTTTTCCAAATGCATGAATAACATATAGAATACTATTAACTATCCCTCATTATCGTAGCTTTGGCTAAAAGAAGTTTTTCAAAATTAAAATTAATAAAATCTTATTTACGTTCAATTATGTCACAAAAAAGATTAAGTAATTTAGCTATATTATCAATTGAAAAAAATTTACTTTGTAAATTTGAATACAAAAATTTAATGAGAGATTTTGCATCTCAGAAAGCAAGAAAAATAAAATTTAAATAATGTTTAATATTTATTTATTTTAAGAAAGAATCTCTAAAATATTATTTTACGTAGGATCACATATATTATAGAGCCGGCCCTGAACTCGGTTTACAAGGTCTCCATGTGCTGGGTTCCAGCGGGACATGCACGGCCCATGCACGTGCAAGGATAGAATTCAGGATTTGTCCCTATTATTACCAGTAGATAGCTGGGTTCCTTGACCTGGCCCAAAAACTTAACACAAATAATTAGATCCAGGGACCCTCCAATCTAACGGCTCTAATCATTGCATCAGCCTATGGTTCCATCATTCATCTAAAAGTTTCAAGGTCCCACCCTATAAAGCAGGATCAGATCCCCAACCTTTTGGGTGGCTCACTTCTGTGTTCATCTTATATATGATACACAGTGCTACGAGTGGTCTTTACATGTGATTCAACGGCGGTGATCGTCATTTTGTCTGCCCACCCACGATAGTGATACTTTCTAGTTTTTATTTGTCCCTTTCTTTTTCTCGAAGCAGTTGCCCCTTCATTGTCCTGGTTTGGAAAAAAGGCATTATTTCATTCACTTCTTCAATGTTTGCACGCCAGTAATAGGTTTGCCGAACTAGCTTATCAATTGCATCGTATTGTGATTTTATGTCACAGCTTATTTATAAACCGTTAATCATTGAACTATTCTCTAATGATTGTTGAAAATAATTAAATAAAATGATCTAATGCTTAAAGTCCTATCTTTCGCTTTCGTTTTCACATTAATTGCACCCACTGTTGATGGCCTTTTTTGAAGGGTATATCATAGATTTTTTTTTTTTGAAATAATGCTAAATAACCGTATAATTTGATAAATATAAAAATTTAGATATTATATATAATTAGTTGAAACTAACATATATCTTGCGCGTTACCACAAGTTGAGCTATACAACATTCTCATATTCATTCATATAAAATACAAAATTAAAAAATAATTATTTAAAAAGATCACGTAAATTTTTTTTTAAAAAAAGAACCCAAACATATATCTAATATTTTACTTTAGGGTTAGTTAAACGAAAAGTCTACAAAGTTAAGTAATATAATATTGCTTATTAAATATTATTTGATATCAACATGTTTTTTATTAAAAATATGTATAATAACTAATAATTAAAATAATAATGTGATATTTTTTTGAATTTTAGATGATTAATTTTTATCATATATTCTTTATCCGTAATTTGTTAATGAGATAAATAGACCACTCAAAACAAAAAGCCAAAAAACTTTGACAAATAAAAAATTTGGCCAAAAAAAAAAGAGAGATAAAATTGCACACGATAAAATTAAATGATCAAAACAAAGTAAATATCCTAAAAAAAGGATCAAAATAAATAAAAAAATTTCACTAAAAGCAAAAAAAAAAAAAAAAACCTATAAACTATATGACTACAAAAAATTCATTATGCATAAGACATGAATAAAAGTAAAACATGCTATAATTTTAATTACCAAAATAAAAAAAATTTCCAAATAAAAACCAAAACAAAAAATGTTTTTTACTAAAAGATAAAAAAAAATAAATTAGAATAGTGAAACTATATTTAATTTTAGTGTAGAAAGAATAATAATCAAATATAATAAAAATTTAACGATCAAAATAAAAGAAAGATCACAAAATAAAAACCAAAGCATAACAAATTTTTTTACTAAAAGTAAAAAACAGTTCCTTATAGGGAAAAAAATCAAATACAATAAAAATTTAAGAATAAAAATAAAAAACAATTACAAAAGAGGGACTAAAAAAAACATTCTACTAAATTTAATGACCAAAATAAAGAAAAAAAATACAAAATAGGAATTATAATAGAAAGAAAAGTTTTATTAAAAGAAAAAAAAAGCTTAAGATGGTAAACTTTATTTAGCTTTAGTACAATGAAGATAAAAATTAAACATAAAAATTTAATGACTAACATAAAAATATATCAAAAAATAGAAACAAAAAATGAACATAAATTTTTACTAAAAGCAAAAAAAAAAAAAAAATATATTTAATATAGAGATAAAAATCAAATATAATAAAATTTTAATGGCCAAAATAAAAAAAAATTAACTAAAAGCCAAAAAGAACCTTGGCTACAATAACCAAAAGAGAAAGGAAAAGAAAAAACGTGAACAATTAATGAACAAGGAGAGTGTGGTTTTTTGTTTTGTTTTAGTTTTATTGTAATAACTACTGGTGGTAGGGTAGATAATTAGCATATTTTAGAAACAATTACTTTTTATATTTACAACTTCAATGCAGACGTTTTCAATAAATTTTTTCCCAACAATAATATTTTCTAACTATTTTTTAAAATTGAGAGCAAGTTTTTTTTCATTAAATTTTAAGCAAATCATCTACATTTGAATTGATATATTTATAAAAAAAATTATTTTTCTTACCCTTTTATTGAATCAAAAGATGACGATGGAGGAGAAGTAAACCTTCTTACTAATCAAACCAACATAGATTCTAAATTCTAAAGAAAGATGATTATTTTCTGAAAATATGAGAGAAACAAGAAACCATTACAAGAACTCTAAAACACAAAGATGTTTTACTGTTCAGTATACTGTAGCTCCAGACCTAAAGTATTTATCATTTTTTCATAATAACTGTTAATTCACTACCAATAGCAAATATGGTATACATCACCACACACAACACTTTCTCAATCAAAGACACAGCTGGAAAGTCAGCTACCACATGGTACATCGTAATCCTCCGTTTCCACTCCGTTAGATTCGCCGATTTTGAACGTGAAAACTAACGGAGAGATAACCTTAAATAAATAAAATAAATAAATAAAGACAACCGGCACATGACATGATAGGAGATGGATGGGTCATCAACTTTTTTAAGCTAAGCAAAAGCATTTACTTACACTCTCAAGTCTTAACTGAAAAAATGAAAAAAGTATCATACTGATCTTTTAATGATTATTGCAAAGTTTAGTGCTTGATTTCAAGTGATGGCGGGAGAGTTTCAAGAACCATTTAGCAGCAGCATTAGCTTTCAGGTACCCAATCTTGTTCTTCAACGTGATCTAATTATATCTTAACATATTATTTGTTTATCTATCAGTGATTAATTTTTCTTGGAAGTAGGCTGGTTATTAAGTAGTTTTAAGTATCATGTTCTTTCTTTTTGGGGGAGTTATAGATTTTTCTTCATTGTTCAGAAAAAAAAAAAAAAACTAAGAAAAATCTTCCGGTTTTGTGATACTTGAAGTTGGCTTGCCTGAATTTTTTTTTCTTTGTTGCTCTGCTAGTGAGGGTATATTGTGAACTTGTTAAGATCTTAATATCAACTGGTTTGGATTGGACAGGCAGATTCTCTGCACTCTGGGTCTATATCATTCGGAAGATTTGAGAGTGAGGACTTGTCTTGGGAGAGAAGGTCATCTTTTTCTCACAACAGGTACCTTGAAGAAGTTGAGAAATGCTCTAAACCAGGTTCTGTAATTCAGAAGAAAGCTTATTTTGAAGCCCATTTCAAGAAAAAAGGGATTCTATTACCGGGTTCATTTGATGGCTTAAGTGGGAGAGGATGCCAGGACAGCGAAGAAGATGATGGGTATGAAAATTTGGGTCAAGGAGAAGAAGATGATGCTACGAATGGAAGTTGCAATTATTCTCACTGTGAGGATTCTGTGCTGGAAAATGTGGACTGTGACGAATTTGATTGTGGAAATCAAGGAGGCCAATTTGATTATGTAGAGGATGAGAGCCATCATGCTTGCTTTGATGAGAGCGCTGAGGGTTCTGAATGTCAGGGACCATTTGAGGTCATTGGATGTGGAGGAGAGGATCCTGTTGTTTTGTCTTCTGAATCTCAAATGGAAGCTACTTTGGATGATGCTACTGTTTTGGTCAAAGGTGTGGATGAAGATGTTAAACAGGAGGAAGCACATCAAATTGAAACTGGGCTGGATGAGTCACATCTCAATAATGACAAACCGGAGATGGAAATGAAAGATAACCTTAATGATTATGCTGCTAATATAGATAAATCATCTACGACAATTTCTCTCTCCTCAAAAAGTGGAACAGCTAAGGATCTTGACAACACTAGTGCAGTGCATCGACAAAATTTCTATCCAAAGGTGTGCAGAAATTAAAAAAAAAAAAAAAAATACTACACGATCAATAGCTAGTCAAATGAAGCGCGTATGCATGCGCCCGAGCACACACGCGCACACCCACACACTAGATCAACAAAATGGCAGTAGTTCAGTTTAATCGTGCATACTTTTATGTGAAATTCATGCCTACATGCTTTTACTATTATCATTGTTGTTGGTGGTGGTGATGTTATCATTTTATAATCATGGTATGTTGACCTGCGAATCACATTTCTTGATATTTTGTCATCCTAGTTGAGAGCTTCTGTGGAAAGTAAATCTATGAACCCCAGAGAGAGGTCTCCCATTAATGGCAGTCAATTCCAGAAAATCCTTAACAATGTGTCAAGAACTGCTGCAAAAAATCAGCATAGAAGAGAAAGAGAAACACAACAGAGAACGAAATCAGAAAAGCAGTCACCACGAGCTGCCACTCCTACTAGACGTGTGTTGCACAAAGCTAAAAGTGAAGAGGTGAGCATTTGGATTCGTTTGATATTGATATTCTAAATTGGATAATTTTTCATTTTCAATTTGACTTTATGCTTAGTTTTTAAAAGCTCTTTTTGTTGTTTGCTTTATTTAATTCAAAAATTATTTTTATGCTCAGAATTCTGAAAGTGGCAATTCAAGGTTATATCCTGTGAATAGAAGGTACTTGCTTTATTGCAAATTGCATACCTGCATCTTCCATGGTTTCAATCCGTAAGACGTTTATATTATTGTGCAGTGAAAAGGAATCAAGAGTAAAGAAATTTGAATCTCCACCCTCTAGATCAAACAAAGTTGAACCTATTGCTCATCTCAGTGCAAACAGGTCCTTCACATACTTTGTCAGTTGATTTTGTAATGTTTTAACATTTATTATTTCCTGAACTTAGATATTGAGTAATTGTGATGCAGAACTAAGCAGATTGTTAGTTCAACAAAGCCAGACACGAAGCCAATTGCCTTAGCCTTCAGTTTCAAAAGTCACGAAAGAGCAGAAAGGAGAAAAGAGGTGAGCGAGCTTGCTGTTGTTCAAAACTTAACTGTTCTGTGGCTAGGAGTCAAATTTAAATGCTTAATCTTTTTCTCCTTTGCTATATGATTCAGTTCTATATGAAGTTGGAAGAAAAATTGCATGCTAAGGAGGCAGAAATGAATCAGATTCAAGTAAAAACACAAGTACGTAAAAAATGATCTTATATGAAGCTTATAATGGACTAAAGCATCCATCTTATAGCAATTTAATGTATATCTTTTCCATAATTCAATTTGTATCAGATGAATGAATTACTGTTATTGTAGGAAAAGACGCAAGCTGAAATTAAACAATTGAGGAAAAGCCTTAATTTCAAAGCTACACCCATGCCTTCATTCTATCATGTTGCAGTACCACCAGGCTCCAATGGAAACAAGGTACATTAACAGTTTTGGCATTTTGCTGTTGTCTTACTTAGTTTATATTTATGGCCAAATAAATATTAAATCCAATCATTTACATTATGTGTGTGTGTGTTTTGATTATTTATTGTGTTGTTTGGATTTTTTCTGCTTTCCAATTACAAGTGATCATAGTTATTGTAGATATGAGATCAGCAGAGTGTCTTATTTAATCTTAGGGGTATTGAGTATTTGGTTTTATTCTCAAAACTCTTTTGAGTGTGTTTGACCTTGATTTCACTTGTGGAATTGATTTGCTTCTTCGTTTTATTTTAATGCAAGTCTCATAAACTTGACATGAATCTCGCCAGCAGTATATGTGTGTGCGCATATGCAAGCGCATGTATACAGGTATAAATTGTTGTTGAGAAGGAACACTGTTACAACTTTTTATGAAGAGGAAACTAAAGTAAAATGAGAAAGTCAAATGTTTGTAAAGTGCCTAGATAGCTTCTTACTGCTATTAAGATTGCCGTTAGTGAGCATCATGTTGACCTATTGAAATTGCAAGAGCTACACAGCAATTCAGTTTATAGCATTCGGATAATATAAATTGCAACATAAGGAGTTGTAAATGTAGTTGATTCACCTTACCATGCACACATTGTAGCATCTTTATCTTTAGATGGTTTGAAGTGTTGTGAGTTTACTTAATGTGTGTTCCGAACATATTTCATCACTTCATTAAGTTCTTTGCCAAGGATCCAAGGTGTTGATATAATGGTTCCAACCATTATACCTGGTTAGAAGCTGTGATACTAAGAATGATCAATATGAAATGAGTGAAAACTTAAGTGTGGTCATGCTTTTAGGATTTAATTATAATCAGAGAGAGATTGGTCATGAATAGAAGAAAGGATAAGTGACATGACTAACAAGTTATTTTATTATTATTCTCTCTCCCTGAGGCTAAAAAGCATGCATATCTACTACAAACTTGAAGGAGGAAACACTGGGATGGATGGGGAATCCTGTATGGATGTTCTACTCCAATTTAACAATAGCACAGTAAAACAAAATGTGAGAGGAAAAATGTTCTCAAGGAAGCTATGTGTCGTCAAAATATGGTGATAGGGATTATATGAGAATGTCGTTAAATTAATGTGGTTTTCATCACAAATTATAAATTATATTCTCTATGATATATTTCTCCACTCACCAATATCTTCCTAGTTCAGTGTATGCTCCTGCTTGATCTTCTCTATGTATTTTTTCAAACTATGACCCTAGGTGTGAGAATTTGTTCTTTTCCTCGAGCAGTTTTGTGCTTTTGTTATCTCTTAAAATGTTAGTTGGCAGAAATAAAGCTGGCCTTTTGTACTTCTATCCCAGGCTTCATTATCTAAAACCAAACCAGCTAAAGTGCGACACAAGTCAACAAGTCCAGCGAGTGGAGCTGCTGCTAGGTCACAACTACTTTCCAGGGCCGGAAATGACCAAGCCCTCTCTGCTAATGAATCTGTAAAAACAACTAATCAGCCTGAGCCTTTAGGAAGACCTGATCATCCTACAACAAAGGTTTCTGAAGCTCATGAAACTTCACTAATTAACAATAACAGGCACAAGCCAGAAGCTCTAACTAAAACTGGTGCCACTGGCAAGAACGAGAGAGGGAAGGTGAAGGATGCTAATTTGCAAAGGTATGGAGTATCAGAAAATACCAAAATATCAAAAGACCTGAAGGTTGAGGGAAAAGCAAAAATGGGAAACCACAGAAGTAGCAGTGAGATGTTGAGGAAAAGTATAAAACGCATTGGAATTGGAAGCAATTCTGGAATGGGTAATCTAGCTGTTGGTGTAACCTCCTGAATTGAGTGATTTTCTTCATTTGCCAAATATATACTGCACCGCTGTCTATCATGATTATTGTTGGCATGTTTGATACCATGAATTTGAATACAAGTCGAAGGGAACGAAGGTCAAATCAGGTCAGACAATAGCTATTCTTTATCAGCAGCACCGAGATGGCAAATTGTCTCAATCAACTGCTGGTAATAGCATGTTTCCTCATGCATGCAGTGCAATCTACAACCTAGCTGGATTAGGTAAGACTGGTAGCTTCTTGTCTGAGTTTTTGATCAATTTGCCATTCATTCTTGCCATCCCGACGACAGAAGTAAGTCTAGTGAGTTGTGTATCAAGAAATTGCATTGCCTCTTGCATCATGATCTGTGCTGAGTATCAGATGTATGTGAATGTGATAATGGCAGCAAATCATATTGTAAAAACCATTTACTTTATTTGATTTTCTTTTTCAGGTATATTGAACTATGAGTCTATGAGATAACCCTTATCTATGCGAGGAAGCATTTTGTATACTAGATCCATTAAAAGAAAAAAAAGAAAAAAGATAGAGCAATATTTTTGAATCTAGATTATTTCCAACTCGTGTATGTCTTGAAATGAGGGAGGCTTGATTCCCCAGCTTAGATCACCGGTCCCTAACAAAAATTGCTATAGCAAAGGACAATACACCGAATGGAGAAGTTATTCCAGGAAATAATGTCAGAACCCTTGAACATCATCACCCATATGCTCAATACAGGCCTCTTGATGATGCATCCATTCAAGTCTATAACATTGGGTATTTGCATAATTTAATCCTTGCATTTGATCTGGATTAGTCAACTGATGAAGACTATTTCAAAGCTTGACTGATAGCTCAAAGAGTTGTTCTTTTCATTGATAGAAATGGCGAGCAAAAAAGATTCTCAGGTGGTGAGCAAAAACGATTCTCGGGTCAATGGCATAACAATTGATAAGGTTGGCCTTTATTTGTAGAAAAGGATGTGCCATTTTGTCAGACACAGTGAAATTTCTACTGTAACACATCAATCAGATTGAGCTTAACCTTCTAGGCTTAATATGTCTTTCTGGCAAAAACAGTAGGAACAGAGGACATATCCTCGTTCAAATTTAGCCAGGTTATGGATGAAAAAAAAGGCCATTTGATATAGATAGTAGATATAAAGCTTAATCTTTGAGATTATTTTTCTAATTTCAGCTTTGCAAAAAAAAAAAAAAAATCAGTATCGCACAGATTGACTAATATTAGTGTTTGCTTGATTATTTTTAACAGAATTTGGTATATGTTCTTACTATTCTAGCACGAGAAATGGTATTCTTTCCTTGAAAGGAATTTCATCCATGTTGATCTTATTGTAGGAGGTATGCTTCACATCAATCATGTTTTATAATTCTTTTATAATACGTAAAGGAGTAATCAAATGCAAAAGTGTGCTGAAAAATATTGAATATCTGGACCCCTTGAGAGTTGAGATAAGCTACAATGTCTGTACCTGTTGAAAATATTATTCTTGTTTTTTTAATCGAAGAGGATGCTCAATAAACGTTAGATTCGATAATAGGGCAAACCTTCCTAGTCCCTATATCTCCATCCATCGTTGTGAAATTATAGTCAAGGAAAAAAAAGAAACCAATAGTACTAGTAGCATCATGAAGGTTCTAGCAAGGGATCCATCAAGTAATATTTCAAACCCACAGCTAAGTCTCATATGCGTAAAACTTATCTGCTCATTCAAAAGAAGACATGACGTGGTATAGCTAGTTGATTGACAAAGGTTATAATCTATTTTCAGACTTATTTTGTCATCTAAATCTGCATAATAAGTTCAGATTGTTACTGTTTAGAAATTATAAATTTTTTATTTGTTTTTTAATCTTGTTTGGATTTTGATTATTTCTGCATTCAAAAATAATTTATTACCTTTTTATTTCGTCCTTGTGTATTTAAGATAGACTTTTTAAGTTATTTTTAGATCTTTGATCGTAGGTTATCGTTGATTAATAAATTTTAGACTAAAAAAAAACTTCTATAACTTTATTGCTGTTCTTTTTTTTTTTTTTTTTAGAGTTTTTAAAATTTAACAAATCTTATATCTGGCTGTACACTGCATTGAACCAAATGATAAATCAGATAGCTACAAAGTCTTGATAAAGGCATCGAGGGGGAAAAAACTTTCAGAAAAAGAAAACAATATTATTATCAATAAAAAGAAAAATGAAAAAAAGGAAAAGCACATTACTTTATAGCTTAATTAAATAGCACCAGACGAAAGAGCAGACGGCATGGACCACCTTCTCCGCGCCTTCTAACACCTCACTTCGTCTCTTTTATTTCTTTCTTTTTCCTTTTTAATTTAATGCCATGTTATTCTTAAACAATTTTGGAGCATGATTTATATTTTCAGTCCTGTAAAAATATACTGTCCATATTGGAATGAAACACATAGAAATTACATCAAAAATTTCTCTTACTTTCTACAGCTAGCTAGAACAAACATATGTAGAAATTAAGTGGTGATGCTAATTCCTCCTCACAAGACATACGTTCGAATATTACCAACGGCTAATTGATTCCGTATTACCAACTAATAATTAAACCTACTTATATTATATATTTATCAGCATAAAGAGATAAATTACATGAAAAAATTTCTCTTACTTTAACAACCGAAAACAAGATACAGAAAAGCAGAAGCAAGAATATTAGATGCGGTCATCGTAAGAGTTGACCTTGGAAGACTGGTTGCCGAAGAGACATCATTTTGGTGAAGAGGCCTTCTGTAGTAGTATGGAAAATAAGGCAAGATAGCGTCAGGAGGTGGAGGACCATTAAAGTTGTTACCAAAAGGTGGTGGAGAATTGTATGGTAAATTTCCAGTTGGAGTAGGGTATACTGGAGGTGAATATGATCCTGCTGACTGAGATGGCGGAGGCGGTGCTGTTGTGACAGTAGGGGTACCAGCCCCGCCGGGAGGAGGATAACAAGGATAAGGGCAATCGCCGTCGGACGTTGTCAATATAGGAAGACTGAAAAGTACGGATGTGAAGAGGAGTGTGGAGAGAATTAGGGTTGAGTTAATATCCATGTTCGTGCGTGAGGAGATGGAAGAGAGGAAGTGAGTGATGAAAGGAGGGGGGTGAGTGATGTTATGGGGTGTGAGTGTGACTTGTTAGAAGACTTTTGTTTTTCTTTTTTAGTGCTTTGCCATGGCTCGCAAAGGCAAGAAAAAGTTAAAGGAGAAAACGGGCTAAGGAATAAAGGATTGGAAAGCAAGTTATAGCTGCTTTTGAGCTAGTGTCTTTAATTTGGTGATTGTGGATTAAAAGAGGTACCACCTAGCGAGGCACCAAGAAATTCTGAACTAGGCCCCCAGTGACGTTAATTAGCATGAAGGCATGTTCGAGCTACTGTGATAATGATATTGGAAGCTTTTTTCAAAGATGTGCGGAGTGTCATTTTAAGCATTGCCCATGAGAAATAGCCAATCAGTTCTTCTTTCTTCTTCTTTTATTTTATTTAAATTTTTTATGTTTGAGTCTCAGCATCTTTAGCTTCACAAGATGTGATCTTAGAAGATAATTAGCTAGAATTTGAATTTTTTCTTCTGGTTTCAGCTAGGCCGTCGTTTCGAAATTCAACAATAACAGATGCTCTCTAACCAACTAAAAATTTTATTAGATGCCTTAATTTGTTGAATTTCAGAATCTTTTGTTTATAACTTGGAAAGATTTTTCCTAGATATTAGGTTAACTTCTATCATCTATTTGTTTCTCTTAATTATATTTTCCTTTCAAAACTAGAATAATGTTGATTCGTCCACTTCCTCACAGCAGAGAGCAACATTTGATTGATGGATTAAAACACAGTCAATCACTACTTGTGACTCGAAACCCTCCCTTACATTGGTACTCTTCCTCGCCAATTCTACCAAAATTTGCTAAAAACAGGGAGCCTTTTCTTAAAACAGGGGCCATGTGCTTGGCGGTATTAGCATAGTAATGATGTACTGGGTCACCGGCCGGACAACGACATAAAAAAAAAAAAAAATCATATGCACATATAAATATAGTATTTATTTGGTCAACAACTCATAACCCTGAACTAAAAACAAAAACGATCGAGATTCCAAGACAATGCTAATTTGAATAACAATGCCCCAGTTGGCAATGAGTCTATTTAGCCATGCTTTTGATGACTAAAGCAATATGACTTATATATTGATTGTTTCTTTTTCCAATAATTGCTACTCTGGTTGATTTAAATTCTTTAATTGTACATTTATAAATAAGAGTAAAGTTTAGTTACTGAACTATTGAAAGCCAATATCTTTCTTAAAGAGAGTGAATTTTATATGGCAAAGGTGCGTAATTCCTAGCTAGATGGAGAGTGCTAGTTGAAATTTGTGTTTGCTTTCTTGGATCCTCACGCACTCTGTTTTGAATGTTCAAAAGCATATGAATTTTGAAGATCTCAATTAAATTCCTTCGAGTTCTTATCTGGGTACTGCTGCCTGGAACTCATCAAAATTGCACTTTTCTTTTCTTTTCTTTTCCCTCTTTAAGTTTGGCCCTCGAAAAGAAATCGATTGATGATCTCTAAGTTACGAAGATTCAACAAAATTAAGGGGACATGCAATGCTCCTCAAAAATAAGGTTGTTATCTCCGATCAAATGCATTCTTATCGATTTCTTCTATAAAAAATATTTGATCCATTCACAAATAAAACACAATGTTCTTGATCTAATTTGCTGCAAGTTTCTATATCAAATGATTCATAACTCCAATGCTTGTACTTATGCTAAAATTGTATTTGCGCCCTAAGAAAAAATACAATACATATCTCATTTCTTTTCCTGTTCATGATTAAAAGAAAAAAAGAAAAAGAAGAAGAGTCGTAGCAGTTCATCTGTCACATCAGCGTTAAGACAAATATAATGACGTGCTAGACTGCCATTATCTTAAACGGATTTTCTTTTTTTTTTTTGTATGAAAAACATATTAGCTTACACTTGGTAGAAAAGTAATCTTGTAGAAATATTACTATATTTATAATAGGATAAAAATTAATTAATATTAAACTTTTATAAGTAGAACTAAGCAAACGTAAATCACTTCATGAAGGAGCACTCGGTAATATTATTTGCATATGAAATTTCAGACTAAATAGATGGTTTCTTCAATTACTAACTAAACCAACCCATCGAAGACATTAAGCGGAATGGATTATCATATATAGGCAGCATTACAATATTTATTACTAGCTGTTAAGTGTGGTTTTGGATAGAAATGAAATTCTATACCCATCATATGCTATCCTCTTTAACAGATTGTAGTGCTCAATAATTGAACGAGCTCGAAGAAGATAGCATCCAGTTAAAAGGGTCCAATTTGATGACTTATTATTTTGCTGACTTTGAAACTCTGATTCAATCATTAAAAACTGATTCCTCACGCAATAAAAATCATACGGTGGAGCCGGAAAGTAAACAAATCGAGTGTTTAATTTGACGTCTTTGTTAAGTTCCGACATAAAATTACTACATTTCATGATTTTATTGGCTCAACTATATATAATAATTATTATTATTCATTTAAAAAAAAACATTGTCAATAACCTTGATAACGTGTACCAATTAACTTCGAGCACATTTGGAACACGCCATTCCTTTTCAAATAAGTAAATAACCACACAACGATTAAAAGAAAATAACCACAAATTACGTCCCTTTAGGAGATTTCTAGAGAAAATTGATCGCCCTTTTCCTGTTATGGTCTCAATTAATCGGAGTACAGAAAGTATCAAGTTAGGTTGAGTCTTTTACCTAAATTTCAACGTGTCGGTGGAATTTGCATCGTAGTAGTTGCTTTTTTTTTTAATTTCCCCCTGAACGAGCACTTATTATATTGACGTGTAGTCGGTGGTAGTTATAGATAAAAATAAGGATTCCAATTTCCAAACCCATTGAACATTTAACACATGTTCCTGTACACGTTCTGTTTACCTTCAGAAACCATAGTTGAATGAATTACTGGGTGAAGGTTCTCAAAGTCCAAACACCAACCTGTCATCTTATAAGCTTTATAGGATCACCTTGTTTCGGCTTTTTTATTTCTCTGGCTAGATAGCTAAATCCTTTTAATTTGCAAACAGAAGAAAATAAGATAACAAAAAAAAAGTTCATCAAACCCCAAGAGGGTGTCTATAATAGTACGAATTTCCTTTATCTTACTTTTCTGCACCTCATGAGGGCGACTCCACTTTCATTACTTTCATAAAACAACACTTCGATCCTAAGAAGAATCTTGAGATTTTTACCTTCTCTTTTAAGTTTCGATCTGGTACGGTACAGAAAGGAGTAATAGTTAAGGCTATCGAAAAATTTAAAAATAAGTCATCCAGATAACATAATATGGTTACTCTTTTCTACCACTATTCATATTCAGATCATCAGCTCCCCTTTATTAGCAATCCCTTTCCTTTTGGTCCAGCAGTACAGGCTGCTTTGCTCTATCATTGTCCACCAAAAACAATTTATCATATACATGGAAAGGGTGCATGCTACTTTTCTTCGTCATTTTCTACAGTTTGAAATTGAACTGGGCAAGCGTTTTAAATCTAAAATCTAAATATTAAGCTGTCCTATTATGGTCAGCTTTATACAGCCTGGAATCCAGACCTTCATTTAAACAAAATTTCTGTCAACTTTTTTAGCCATCTAAATGTGATTATCTCAGTTTAATTACTCTTGCTTTTTCTTTAAATCGCTTTAGTCCATCTTAAACCCGGCCAGTTTCATTCAGGCTATTGCCTCCTGAATATGCTATTCCTGGAATTCCTTCAGGATACGTGCCTTTATTTTGTACTGCGCCTCTAAAATAAATTATGAAATGTGTTGGGGGAGATGGGCACTAGAAAAGTACTTAGGTTGCAATTGCGGGGACATACATATAAAAATAAATATCATTTTAACTCAAAAGTGTAAACTAATGGATTATAAATATATTTCATACACAAACATTTATTTTTCTAGTTCATTTTCCAATTTAGAACAGATACCATTCACACACACACATATATTTTTGGTATCCAACAATAGACAAAATTAGGACTTCCCAGGTCACTTAATTATATAATTAATTATAGTTGTACAAATCAAGATAAGGGTTATTTGCTTTCTGAAAATTGTATGCGGTGATGCCTGCAAAGTGCTAAAAAAATTGTTTACAATTCCATAAACAGTTATACATCAGTGTAATGTAACAGTAATGCATGAAAAAGTGGCTATAACGCCATTAATGATGATTAAAAAAAACAAAAACAAAAACTGAAAGCCATGGAAGGTGAGAATTGACACATGAAGTATAGTCAGAGCAGGGATTATCCATTTGAGGTTGATGTTTCAATGCCCTGCCAAGATAGCACTGTCTAGCTAGACAGATTATTGAAGCACGGATGGATTTTAGAAACCGAATTTTTTTCCCCTGAAAGTTGCGCCCTACGTTAACTGCTGTCCAAATGCACCCAAAAAAGTAATTGCAAATTTCATATCTGAAGCCGGCGTGATTAGAGCAGTCGAAATGGTCAAAACTTGTGAAAGATAAACTTAATTAAAAATGCCAAAGTTAACCAATCAATCATGTTGCAAAAAAAAAAAAAAAAAAAAAAAAAAAGTCATTAGGAAGGGTCTGTTCTCTATTCAGACCACCTCCCTGGAAATTGAACCCCACCAACAATTTTTCGCTATTGAGATCTCATTCAAAGAGAGAAATTTTTAGCGTATCGGTAGAGAGGTCAAGAAAGTCGCAGATGGTTTGGCAAAAATTGAACGTGTCGATTAAGAACCCAATTGATTTCATGGTCTGGCTTAAGTTCTCTTTTCCTTCTCTCTTTCTTCCTTTTCTTTTGACATCTACTTCTAGCCATTTCCTGGATGGCCTTGGCTTTGCATTTTTCTTGTGACAATTGACATGTTTCACATGTAAGCTTACATTTTTTTAATCACTTTATTTTAATTTTAGATAAAAAAAAATTTTGATTCTTTTTTGATAATTATATTAGCACGTGTGGTTGTTTCTTGTTTAACTTATATGATAGTAAGAGATAAGATGATAGCATGACATAAATACCACATAAAATTTTAGGTGACTTATATGACAAATTAACTCTCCTATTACGAATTATGTATCAATCATTTCCAAACCCAATTGAATTCCTATAAATCCCTAAACTTTCCCATTGCAAAACACAAACCAATTTTCTTTCATTCCTCTAAAAATTATATAGAAAAAAAAACTAAAATAATTATTTCTTTTAACCAAAACTTCATCCCAATTATGCTTTGTCATCTTTTTAATTTATTTTTCACCATAAATATCCTCTAAAAATTCTATTTTTTTTCCTAAGCAAATGCAATATTTCCTTCTTTTTTTGTGGTTTTTTTTTTTTATTCTTACGAAAGTGAGAGAAAACACTAGGACTTTAGGAGGTTTTTAGTGGTAAACTAGAGAACTCATATGAGGTAATTGATCCTAGTTGTTAGTGTTTAGTTTGGTTTTGTAATTGTTTTTACTTGTTCTTGTTGTTTGTTGTTGATTATTGTTTGTTGTTTGGTTTGAGTTTGAGGTGACAAACAAATCCTAATAGATTAATTCTATTAGGAGTTTTGGATGTATGAGTTAAAAAAATATTTAAAATGGCAAAAGAGAGGTCGAGGTTCACAGCAGTAGAGGGATGGCTTGGAATGGGTATGAGGGATTGAAGAAAATTGAGTTTGATTTTTGTCGAGAAAGATTAGGGATTTTTAGGAATTTAATTGGGTTTGATAATGAATGACACATATGTCATAATTGCAGAGTTAGTTTTTCATATAAGTCACGTAAAATCGTATATGGCATTTACGTCATGTCGTTATCCTATCTCTTAAGCCACATCATCCGAAAAAATAAATTGAAGATAGAAAAATTCTCGTATGCTAATATAGTTATCAAAAATTTAATTCATGTTTTCTTTGTTTAATATTGAAATAACATGCTAATATGTTTGAAAAATATAAAGATTATGATTTTTTGTATAATAAGCCTTAATATAAATTTGTTGATTGTTATTAACAAAAAAAACTCTTCCAAATGACTAGGAATCAATATGATCTATCGTATTAATGAAATCTAAAGATAGAATTAAGAATGTAGACGGGGCCATGACTCTTTTAAAAATATGAGTAATCTCTGAAATTTAGAAACTATTTCATATACAATTTTTGCACACATTTTGAATATATATATATATATATATATATATATATATATATATATATATATATTTTTGTGTCAGTGGATGGTTCATATTTTTTTAAAACTAACAGTTACTTTTCTCGATGAAACATTGGTCGGAGCCAAATCAATAGAAAAAGGTCAAAAAGAAAAAAGAAGTGTGTTCTACTTAATTGGCTGAAGCTAGTTACCTTAGCAAATACAGGTCATCAATTTAGTGATGGTTTCTTTACAAACTAAAGTAACCACAGCCAATTAACCAACGTTTTGTAACTTGTAAGGCAATTGAGGGATTGAGTTGACATTGTAATTATAGACATCAAAAAGTAGAAAGAGGGGGTGGGGGTTGTGGGGTAGGCTAACTAGAAGCTGCCAAGCTTCACCAATGAGGCACCGCCACCAAACCTATTACGTGTAAGGATGTTGATGTGACGGGATCCTACCATTTGGTGAAACCCAAGTTGATCTCAGAAACTGTACCTGACGACATCTGACACATCGTGATCAGAGCTGATTTTTCTACTGACATCATATCAGATGGTTGTCGTCTCCTCTTTGATTTCACATTTTATAGGAACACGGATTCGTGGCATTTGGGGCAAGGAAACTCTACGGGGACAAATGGCACCTGCCCAGTTATCCAAACTTCGGAACTAATGTCACTTACATTCTGATAGCCAAAGATGGACTTCTAAGGTGACTTCTCAGAGAGTGGGCACAGACTAAGTTAACACTTAAATTATTTTCACTTGGATGTATGTTCTCTCTCTTTTTTTTTTTTTTTTAATGTGGAATCAATTGTTTTATACGAATCTTAGTATTTGAATAAATGTGATTTTAAGATTGCGATGAATGACTTGAGTTAAAAGTGTCAAAAAAGGTTTATAACTTTTCGAATGTTTAAAGTTCTTCCCGTGGTGATCGATGGGCTACTTGTCAGTTTCTTATTTGATTTTTGGTATCTCTTGGCTAATACCGCTGTCCCCATCTGATGACCATTTGTCCAACGAAAGCATCAATGACTTAAATCACAGTATGTATGCAGTCTAATAAAACATCAACTTCTTTTTTTTTTCGGAATAAAATTAGACCATGATCTTTGGATCAACATGCATTTTAATTATTATCAAATCAAGCTGATTTTTGACACATAAACTAATTAATCAAGTTATCCACCAAGAATGAACCCTTTATTTTAAAAGTGGAATCCATGTGTACATATTAATGAGGACGTGCCTAAAGACGTCACCCGCTAATGGTGGGCCTAATTGAAGGCAAGGTTTTTAATTTAAACAGACTGGTGGAGATGTGCATCCTGGTGGTTGATCCATTTGATCATCCACAATACTCCAAGATAAATAATACAATAGCCTATGACTGTTCTGGTACGAATTTACATTTAATTTAATTACTTTATAGACCCGGAACCCAAAATCGACCACATACTTTTCTTTCATTCAGCAAACCATAAATCATGATCAGATTAGCGACGTCTACATAACTAAAAGAAAACAAGACAGACGTAAAAAAAAAATGTTGCTGAAACGAAATTACTAATAAAAGGAAAAGGGAAGAGAAGAGAAGAGTATTATTCAAGATATTGAAAAATTGAGAGAAATAAAGCAAGAACCAAGTAGATCCTAGCTATGAAGTTATATCATTTCGGACAGTAAAAATTCTTTTATCTTGTTGTCCTTAGAATCTTTGATCACACCATCTTAATTAACATCTACAAATTCAGGCCTTAAAGGCCGAACCTCACGAACAATCCAAACAATCCACATCCAATCAAAACTTGCAAACCCACGGCTGGACGGCTAGCAGCACCGAAACTGTTGTCAATAGGGTACAAGTTCCCTGGCGGACCAGTCATGTAAATAAACGATGATGGGGGTGGAGGTGGAGGGCAGTTAGAACCTGATGGCGGCTTCTTTGGAGTCGGTGGAGGCAACACTGGTGGAGGTGGAGATGGTGGTGGGGGACACAATATCGGAGGGGGTGGTGATGGTGGTGGAGGACTTGGATTACATGGCGAGCACTTCTCTTCAGTTGGTCCAGGCACGGGGGTCTCATCAAGCTTCCTTGAATCTAAGCCATGAACTGTTGCCACAACAAAAAGTAACATACTTAATAGCATCAAAGAGTTGGAAAAACCCATTCTTAACAGCATATTGAGGCTAGGTAGAAGTGAGAATTGCTCGAGAGATTTTAATTCGGTGGAGGAATTAAAGGAAGGGGTTTGAGAGGAGCTGTTTTATTCGGGTATTAGGTGCATGGGGACTGTGATATAGCTTGTCTCCAAAGGTTGCTTGGGCTTTTGGTGATCTTTGATAATTAGAATTTTAAGGCAAAGTGGAGTGAGGGAGACTTGTTTTATGGACTTTTTTTTCTTCCCTTCTTAGGTTGGTTCCTTCTTCCATACGGGAATCCATGTATTGCATGTGGTTGGTCCTACTTTTGGGGCCCACTATATGCGCTTTCAAAACCGTTTTGATCAATATATTAATACACGTAATTTTTATAGTTTCTCCCAATCATTTTATAAAATCATGTGTGAAGTTTTCTATTTCACCGATAAAGGGTATTCTTATTTAATTTATATTTATATGTCAACTAAAACTAAATTATTTTTTTATATATAATTTTACAGATATATTTCTATATCGGTTAAATGATCCTAAAGGCGTAATCTTTATATTAATCTGGTATATTAAATAAAATAAAAAATATTAATTTTAAAATTTAAATCAAGAATTTAAAAGAAAAAAATAAACTTTCTTAATCGCTATACGACACATCTCCTTGAGGTTAATGTTATGTGTGTGTGTGTAAAGTTGAGCTCCTCTTAATATTACTTCACGTAATGGGTTGATGTATAGTATGTACAATGATTGGTACTGATTGATTGAAATGGTCTAAAGATGTAATATATATGGTCCTTTCCAGCTCGTGCAACATATATAATCCTTGTGATCTAAGAATCATACACAGGTGGTTGAGAGCACTGTCCTCTAATTGTTAATCAAACTTTCTTAATTATGGATCTAGCGAAGATTGTTTTGGCTATTAACTACACGATCAGAGATATGTATAATGGAATCGATATACCTTGCATAGAAAATAAAACTATGCCTTTCTTGTACAATACAATTTTAGCCGGCCTAGCTCTGCTGTGCATGAAATTCCGTATTCTTTGCAGAGATCTTAAGGTAAAAAATATACAAGGTCAAGTAGTAATATACCAGTTTTTCACTAACGTCATGTTACGAATCGTATTGAACATATAAAATTATTTCAGTTTTAAGATTTATGCTATACAATCCATCACAATATATATACAATCCATCACAATATATTGAAACCTAGACTTAAAAAAAAAAAAAATCTATTCAATTTTATTAAAAATTTGCATCTGAATAATTATTCATTATATTTTTTATAATTTTACAAAAAAAAAAAAGATTTATTCTTCTTTACTTGATTCTTAACCAAAAAATTATGATAATCTAAAAATAAAATCTAAAAATCCATGGATTTTAACTAAAAAATTATTTTGTAAATTATTTTTTTCAAAAAATATAATAAAAATAATCTAGAATATATATATATATATATGCTACTATCATTTAAAAATTATAAGAGTCTACCATATAAATTATATAAATTTATTTTTTAAAAGAAAATAATCAAATTCTAAAATTTTATTTAAAAATCCATACATAAAGAACAATAAATCATATTTATTAACAAATAATAAAGAGTAGAATTGAATGATAGTGAACAATGCAATTGAGTGTTAAGAATTAGCTTTCTATTTTTAATGTTTTAGTTAATAGAACTCTATAATTTGTAATTATTTATTAAGGAGTCAATAATTAATTTTAATAATTAATAGTTAACCGAACAAAAAAAATTGTATTATTAGGATGTATTGAATCTATACTCACTCCAAAAAATGAAAGATTAATTATAGACTAAACATTGTCAATAATTAATTACAATGCAAGCTAAATGTTCATTCGAACTAGTTCAATCGAGAGCATACTTGTTTAAGAATTTCTCACCCATGTTACAACAATACAAATTAAATTGGTCTTGAGTCCTAGCTATTATACATGTACATTTTGTTTGCAATCCAACAAAATATGAAATTATTAATAACTATAGATATATTTATTGGCTACGAAAATCTTGCTACTATTGCAAATTATATATTACTTGTACTATTTTCATGTGATTGATGTGAATATAGTGATAGATAAATTATAAATTAGTCCCTCTTGTTTTAGGAAATTAATTAATTAGTCCTTTTGATTTCAAAAAATAATTATTTAATTTTTTAACCAAGGCTGAGCATAACTAATTTATTTTTTTATTTTTTAAAATATCTTATTTTCTCATCAATATTATTTATTTATTTATTATTTTTTCTATTAATGAAAACAAAAAAGGGTTAAAAAAATAAAAAAATAGCAAAAAGGACAAAAATATCAATTTTTGAAATTAAAGGGACTAATTAATTCATTTCCTTAAGAAAAAAGGACTAATTTATAATTTACTATTGAAGCTCATGTCCTCTAACGAAAGGGAAATGCAATCATAGGAGCATTAAATGCTCTATCATTAAAAAAAAAAAAAGGAAATGATGAAAAAAGGCTAAAAGAGAAATAAAAAAGAGACTCGATCAACGGTAAGTGTGGATTTTTCATAGATCAATCAAGTGGTAATGAGAGTACTTAAAGGTAAAAGAAAAGGTCATTTATAATAAAAAAAGCAAAAAAAAAAAAAAATTGCTCGGTTCACAGTAAAATGAGAGTGAATGAACAGCTTTATGAACAAAAAAAAGACTACCTTTTTTAGTGTTTTTTGTAATATTTTCGAGAGAAATACGTAGAATAGGCACCTCATAACTAAAGAGAGTTGCTAATAATTAACCATGAGCCTCGTATTGAGCATGGTCTGTACTTTGTACATGTGTGATTCAGTAAAATAGAAAGGCTAAGACATATGTAGATCCCTAAACTATTGAATATTTTGATTTACACTTGTTATATATTTCTCTTTGAATTTAATATCTAAACTATGAGAGGTTATTGGATTGTGACTCCTTTATGAAGTTTTGCGACAAAATCATCATCAAATAAAAGAATTTATCGCTAATTCAATCATACCAATCTTTATATTTAACCATCATCGAATTAAAATGTTTTAATAAGGTTTTCAAAAAATAAAAATCCAGTTCTAATCTAAGAAGGTTGAGTTAAGCGGAATAAACTCTATTTGCTTAAACAAGTGGTTTTAGATTCGAATTCTTGTGTATACTGAAATTTTTTTAAGGTAGGTGTGCTCACCTTGTATGTTCGATCAAACAATAAAGGATGATTTTGGGTCTTTGAGTTTGGAATATCATGAAGATCTAAAAAAAATTCTAGTTCTAAGAACCAAAATCCAAATTTTTGTGGTTAATTTGAGTTTAAGAAGGTTTTTTTTATTTTTAGTTTTATATTGGAGTGTTATTTATGAGGTTGAAAAGATTATTTTGGATTGAGATGTCCTTGAAAAATTTTCTTGAAGTGTGGAAGACCGATCGATTCTAAAGACAAAAATCTTCGAAAGAAAAAGGCAAATAATCAAGATGAAATTATAAAGGATACAAATATTCACAAAACGATCTAAGATATTTTTTATAATAGGCTTTCAAAAGAAGTCCAAATGCTTGAAAACAATCAAAAGATTTTGATAAATTATGTCAATACGTGAAGAAAATAGGTCCGAAAAGAAATATTTATTGATAACATTTTTGCATATAATATTGCAATTGATATTTTGAATGAAAATAAATGTCCCGATCCTAAATTTTTTGAAGAATGTCAACATAAAGATGATTGGCCTAAATGAAAAAAGCAATCTAGACAAAATTATATTCTCTTATAAATTAGTAGTTTTTGAACTCATAGTTGAAAAACTTGAAGATGTTAAGTTAATGAGATAGAAACAGGTAGTTGTTTAAAAACGAAATAAGAATTATGAGATTATGAGATACAAACAAGACTTATAACACAAGAATTTTTACAAAGACTCGACATTGACTATAAAGAGACATATTCTCCTTTAATGGATGCTATTACATTTCGTTATCTCATTAACCTAAAAAAATATATAAAAAACGTCATATGTATGCATTTAATGAATGTGATCATAGATTATTTGCTCACTTGAAATGATATCTATATAAAATTTCTAAAAGAACTTAAGATGCCTAAGCATGTAATACATATTTCTAAGAAATGTATTTAATTAAATTATAGAGATCTCTATAATGATTATTTTAGTATTTATTTTATTATTTTAGTTTTTAAAAATTTAATTTATATTATACTTTTTATATTTTTTTTATTTTTCAATATCTACTCTATATTACTAACCCGTGTGCATATAATATAATCGCTTCCATGAATATTTATTGAAATAAAATTATAAAAATAACTTTATTTATTCATGTGTTTTTATTCGAAAATGGGTTTGTGATAATTATTGTATATGTTGATGACTTAAATATCATTGAAACTCGTGAAAAGATTTCAAGTATCATAAGTTATCTAAAAAGAGAATTTGATGAGAATACCTTAGAAAAACAAAATTTTATCTCGACCTACGGTTCGAGTACTTAGAAAATGAGATTTTTATTCATCGGCTCTTTTATTCATTAGTCCATTTATATAGAAAAATTCTATAATGATTCTATATAAAACTCATCCATTGATTTGCCTAATGATACTTTGTTCACTTGATATTAAAAAAAAAAGATCTTTTTTTGGCCTTAAGAAGATAACGAATAATTACTTGGTCCTAAAATACTATATCTTAATACAATTGATACATTGATATATCTTACTAATAATACTCAACCTCGATATAACATTTTTTGTAATTTTATTAGCAAGATATAGTTCTACTCCAATACGAAATATTAAAATGAAATTAAACATTTCCAATGTTATCTCCAAAGAAAAATTAATATGTCATTTATTTTACTCTAATAAATCAACAACATGATTAATTGATTATGCAAATGTAAGTTTTGTATCTAATCCATACAAACCTTGATTACAAATGGGTTATATATTTACACAGAGTGATATAACTAGATCATGACGTTTTATGCGTAAAAGTATAACTCGCTACATATTTAAACCATGCGAAATATTAATTTCACGAGGTAAGTTGAGAATGTGTTTAGTTAAGATTAATGACTCATTATATCCAAAAAACATGCAATTTATCTACCAACAAAGAAATCTTAATAATATTATATGAAGATAATGTTGTTTGCATAATTCAATTAAAGGAAAAATGCATCCAAGTGACAATCCGATGGATTTGTTCACTAAGGCATTACTTGTCATAATTTTTGAAAAAATGGTTCGTAAGACCGAGATTAGCGTTGAGCACTATTTGGTTAAAATAAAAAAACCAAACCGAACTAAACCGAGCTAGCAATTTCGGTTTAGTTTTGTACAAAAATTTTGAAAAAAAAATTAAAACCAAAAGCTGAAATTATTTCGATTCGATTTTTTAAAAAAATTTGGTTTTCATTGAAAATCGAATTAACATTTTTTTTTTAACACACACACCAAAGGCTTATAGCATTTTTTTTTTTTAATGATTTTCTTTGTTAAAATTTGAATTCAAGCTATTAACATTGCTTGAAAATCGAAAAAAAATTGTAAAAAAGTGACCTTTCAACTTGATCCAAGATAAAATTCAGAAGAAAAGATGAAAAAAACTAGTTTTCAACCGAAAACTAAACCCGAAAATTTGGCTTTTTAACCAAAAATTCGAAACTCAATTCAATTTGATTTCAGTTTTTGTTTTAGTCAATTCGGTTAACCGGAAAAAACCAAAATCGAACAAAAAAAAAAAAAAACGAATGATCACCCCTAACTAAGATGTGTTGTGTTGAAGATCTTAAATGATGTTTTTAATAGGAAAAGCCCAAGTATAAAGATTAACGTGTATAAGGAATATTGTAGTTTTTTTCTTTACTATGATTTTTTTCCATGGAGTTTTTTTCTAGTAAGGTTTTAACAAGACATGTTTTTTGTGTGATAGATATTTTAAGAAGGAGTGTTATAAAATAATAAATTTTCATGACTATTTCATATTCTCACTACTCATCTAATTCAATTCATCATTTAATATAAGAAATTGAAAGAGTGATGTAATTGATTTAATTATATATGTAAATTTTAATGGTTCATTATCCTTTTCAATTTTCTTCCTAATCTTAAAGCCTATAAATAGGCTTGATTGATCATTAGCTTGAGTAAATGCGTTTTGTAGAAATTGATAAAATTATTTAAAGTTCTTATCACTTGTATTCACTTTATTTCATAAAGAATTTATTTTCTCATTATCTTTCTCTTCAATTATATTATTGTTACAATCTCTTTTATAGCACTCTTATGTTTGTCATATGTTTAATTATACTTTGTGTTTGTAAAATTAGTGTAGTTAGGAACAATAGTTAATTACCATTTGATTGCTCTGTTAATTGAATATGACATAGACCAATAATTTTTATATAAAATAAAAATCGCAATAAATTAATTTCTCATCAAATCTTATAAGTAATTTCGCAAAAAGTAGATAGTTTTGTTTCTCCACCGATAATCTCTTAATTGATTCTAATTTTCCCCATACACGTTGGTTACCAATTTTATTTTTATGAGCCAATACAAATAAATAAAAAAATGCAAGCATATATGGATATTTTATAATTCAAGGACGAGCATGGCCCTCGTCCCTTGGAGGCTCTGCCTCTGCTCATATTCTTTCTCATTGATTTTCGAGTAGGGGTCCCTCTGCAAACACAAATTTCTGCAGATTAGGTGTGCTTAACAGATTAGGGGTCGGATTATAGGTATAGAACCAAAGGTACTTTCATTTCTCACAAGGAAGAGAGAGAGAGAGAGAGAAGCCAACCGGTGGCTGTTTGATTAATATTCTTCACTTATAGGCACATGCCGAAGCAGCCACCGTAATGTTAGTTGAGACGTGCTTGACTTTCTTATGTCGTATAGCCACCATAATGGATTGCAGTTTTGCATTGATAGAAATCTTTGATGGTGTAAGCAAACCATACTCATGTGTCAATTCGATGTTCCAAATTCTAAATGACCTCTATATTTGCGTTTCCCTTTGTCAAACCATAATCATAGTGTTTTGCAACGAAGTAAGAAATAATCTGAAGAGCTTATAAAATCCTCAGCAACTACGGTCTTTCGCTCATAATTTGGAGTCCAGTCAGGGAGTTCTAAGTCGCTTGCCAAGCGAGTGTGCTTTTCTTTGAGAAAAATCCTCTTTTTCTACTCGGATCACTTGTTTATGACAAAAATCAATTAGTCTGTACCCAGTATTTCAATTTTGAAGAATTAAATCCAATTTGATCAAATATAATCCAATTCCAATTCAAGTTAGTTGTAGATTTTAAAGGCCTTTGTGCCTTTTTTTTTTTTTTCCTTTTCTTAAGAAAAAAATGGGTCTTTATTTTATTTTAGAAAGAAGAAAAATAAATCTCAACAATTAACGTGTGTTAGTTAATTACGAACAGTACCTTATTTTGACAATGTTTAGCGTAATTGACAGAAATCCCAGTACAGGGTGCAAAATCTACTTTTGACGTAAATACAAGGACTAAAATTAATTAGTATTCTGAATTATTAAGTCCACGAGGAGATTTGTACTCTTATTCTACATGAACAAGTGATGTATCCCACCATTATATACGAGGAGGAGCACAACGGAGGCATAATTTCAGGACTTACTTTGAGTATAAAAGAGGGGACAAAAATGAGACAAAGAAAAATACGGGCCCACCTTCGAAGAAAGGATTGACTGAGAAAAGTCTGAATAACAGGCCAGAAGGCTCCAAAGTATCAATTAGCATTTCTCAGAAATTCTTATGGACGTTTAATTTCCATACCATCTTTGAAAAGTATAAACCAAAAGTTGGCCCGCAATACAGGGAAGAAATTTCTTTTTATTTGACTCTTCCCTCTTTCAATCTTCATTGTTCCACGGAGTGACGATTCTGGTTTTGGCTCTTCTTAAATCAGAGGTAACGTCACGAACCATATTCGTGGAATTAGTTTTTTTTTAACTATGATAATAATAATTTAAATCTGTTCATAAGAAAAAATAAATAATAATTTTTGAAAAAAGAGTACTCTACCTAGCTATTAATCTGCATAAATAAATCTCAACCATTGAAATCAAGTCAAAATCTCGGATTTCATTAACATCATGATATGTTATGCTACTATTAATTCAAAAGAAGTTCAGTCCTTCGGATTTTTGTCTTCCAATAGTTTAAAGTAACAATATAATTAAGGTATTCTCGAAAGACGTATATTTTCTAAATACGAGCTGATGCGTTGAAGAACCAGAGCAGAAAAATTGCGATTGCACGGACTTAAACTTGAAGAAAAGGGAGATAAAAAAGGGGACAAAAAGTTAAGAACAACCGAATCCACAATCATAGATGAGTGGAAGATAAGGGACCAGTTAGCGCTGCCCACCGGCCCATTTGCTTGAAGCATCTTCTATCCTCCTCCTCGTCTTCTAGTCAACTTCAGAATCTGCACCTTAATTTATGTTTAAGCATTGCTTTAACAAATTGGAACCTTCCTACCTTAAACCTCTTTGTATATCTCAACAATCATTCCTAGTCAATGGTTATTGGGCTAGGAAACGAAGATCACTCCACGTTACCATCTGGGGTTTAGAATTGAGCCACGTTATGCTGGGGAATCCTATAATAATGTCACTTTCAGGACTCCTTTATTTTTTAATATGGACTGTACCCATTTTTGTCATTTATGAATGCAATTAAAAGAATTTTGAAAAAGAGAAATACATCATTAATGGCACTTTCCTAATATTGACTACATGACTTGTTATCAAGGATAAATAAATAAACTAATACATATATATTTAACATTGATTGGATTCATAAGATTAAACTCAGCACTTACTGCACGGGTAACGGAATGACTTTTCAAAGATTGTAATTTGGCTGCCCAAAATATTCACCTTTCACCTGAAAGAGAATTTGCTAAAAAGTAAACTGAGAGGAAATAGAGGTCCTGATTAATTAGATAGCATCTTCTTTCTATCTTTAATTTACTCATAACTTGAAAGAATATTATGTTTGCACTAATTACTTTTAAAGTATTATAAAATGCCTCCATCATATATGTCTTTTATGGATGTAAACTCAAAACAAATAAATTACACGCCTTTTTTTTCTTTTTTTATATAGATACCTACCAGTTTCAGTTTACACAATTCATATTTTTCCTTTCGTTGGACCCAACTAACATATTACCACCATATATTTACATTTTTCAGCTCAGAAAACATATTGAAACCACCAACATGACAATATCAGAATCAAGATAAATTCTTGCAAGAAGCTCAAAATTGTATAATCTGATAATAATATCCATTCGATTGAGGTTCATCCAGCAGCTTTCTTCTTGATTTTTGATCAAACCATTGGTACGCCTATTTTATGCGGAAAAAGAACGTGCTTAGGAGTTTAAGCCACTAAGGTTTCTTCTCACATTGGTGACAGCCCGGGTGGAAGTGGGTCCAATCTTATCCATCTTACAGTAAAACCCAGCGGCTAGGTCTAATCCGCTTAGGCGTCGTGCCCAGCCCATTACATCTTAAATATCTTCTACCATCTGAAACAAAAGCCCAGACGAACCATACATCCATCAAAACACACATCGTAGTCCAAAGCCAAGCTGTTACAATGTGAAGGAACAAACAATACTGCATACCATATGCTTCGAGAGATCGCGATGCCACAAATGCACAACTATACACATCTCCTAGAAGGCGGAAAAAAAGGTACAAACAGAAGAAGGAAAGATCCACCAAGGAACCAAACCATCCCACCATCCCCTTCCCGACAGCGCCAAGCACCACGCAAGCATCATTGTGATCATTTCTTCATCCAAAAGCATGTCATCGTTGATTACACGGCATTAATCAAAGTTTGATACGTGGAACAGAACAATCACACAAATTCTTGTCACCACCTAAGTCAAAAAATTATTTGGGACTTGAGGAGAAACAATGATGATCTCTCAGCTGCAATAATTGCCCGTCCTAAGCACTCCCCAGCCTGAAACGCTGAAATGCGAACTTCCACCGTCCATCATTGGATTTGCATTCCACCGTGCCCTTTTTGGATTTCTAGGTTCTTCAAGAATTGAGGGTCTACAGTACCACGAGGAAGATTCAAATCCTTGCGCCATTTCCATGAGCATTGTCTGCAACTCCTCCATGCTGTAACTATTGCCCTGCTGTGTGTAATTCATGGAGTGGATATTTAAAAGATAAGCACAACTATCAATCAACTCGCATTTCAGAATAAAAATTCTACAAAACCCAAAATCATAAAGACTTTCTTTTTCCTTTTATTAAACGTCAGTCCACCTCAGAATCTAGAATCTAATCCTACGCGACATAGGAAGCCGAAGGACTTCGGCGTTTCAGCATTATTTTGAGGCAGCACCAATGTTCTACCAGTAGCACATGAGTCCCTATACAGTTGGTTTTTACTTGGAAATTTTAACTTCTTCCAGCATTTACATAAAGTTTGCATATTCTCTTGCACCATAGGTTATCACATAAGTGATGATAATAATAAGCAAATTCCTTATCCCACTTTCTTCTTAAGGTTTGGAAATTTTAACTTCTTCCAGCATTTACATAAAGTTTGCATATTCTCTTGCACCATAGGTTATCACATAAGTGATGATAATAATAAGCAAATTCCTTATCCCACTTTCTTCTTAAGGTATGAAAACTCATATGAACAAGGACCCTCAATATAAAATGCTATCCAAATCTAATATAACTCTCTCGCTAGCAGATTAGCGAGCAAAAGTCAAAGAAGATGATAGCACCCCTTGCCGGAGCTCGGAGACAAAACCCCTAAAAAATTTATAAAATATTAAATCAAATATATATATATATATATATATATATTTGTAACTTTAATTATTTAAACTGTTAATAAAAATAATATCATTTATATGTACTGTTATCACTTAATAAAACCTAATTAAAAATCGTAACGAAATTATGATATATATAACATTGCTAAATTATGTAAAAAATTTAAATTGTGTAAAATTTTTATATCGTATGATTGCACTTATTTCTCTATTATATTTTTTTTACCCGATTCGTTTCTTAATCCTTCAGTTTAGGTACGCGTAAAGACCCTTCCATGAGTCGTTGGAGGATAAAAAACTACAAGTCGGTTGGACCTCTCAACTTTCCAACTTCATGGGCCCTACTCATTGTAATCATCATTTTCTCTCCTAAAACCAAAAACGAAACAAACATTTTCATAACTTTCCTTACTCTCAAAGGGAACGACGATTCTCAAAGTACCAATTTCGTTCACTACGAAAAAAATAAAAAATAAAATAAATGATAGACTAATAAATTATATTTGCATTTTGCATCGCAATGCACAAGATTCTGCTCCACAAATTTATAAATTAATAAAAAACTGGATGAATCATTATAGATCAAATCCATACCTGTCTCTTATCCTGGGCCATGAGATTCAATATTTCTTGCACAAAATCAGAAAGGCCCTAACACAAACAAAAAATAATTAGCAAGAGAGCATCAATGGAAAAACAAAACGCATTTGATAATTAATGAAAACAAAAACAAAATTCATTTGACACTCATCGCCTACCTCATCTTCTTCGTCTTCAGGGTCATATAATCCTGCATCATACATTGTTTTTTTCCTCTGATCTGATAACACTGTCAACATAAAACATCAACTGATTAAATTAGGAAACAAATTTGAAGAAACAAAAGAAAATCTCATAAAGTTGAACCAAAAATACGGTCATCAGCCAGTTGCTTCCAGCGAAGTATTGAAGAGAAGCTTCATTACCTGAATAGGCTTCTTGAATCTGCTGGAATTTACGTTTGGCTTCACCCAAAAGAGAAGGCGTTCTTGTCCACCTATCAGGATGCCATCGCTGCACCACCAAGCAACCACCCATTAATATTCCACTAATCGATTAATTAGCAACTTCAAAATAAATATCCAACCAAAAGCAAAGCTAATCATTTGATGCATACCATAGCAAGCTTGCGATAAGCTCGTTTTATTTCATCAATAGAAGACTCTGAACTAACACCAAGAATGCTGTAATAAGACGGCGAGCCCTGTTGCCGATCAAGCCCCATGTTCACTACCATAAAAAACTTAGCTAGCAAGCTCTCACAATATATACACACACATGTACCGCTATCAAAATCTTCTGAAGTTGGTTAGGCCTAGCTTGCAAATAGTTAGGGTTCGGCTTATGCTTGCAAAAGGACCGTGGCATGAAGAGAACTGACAGGGAAAGGCGCTACAAAACCTATATATAGAAATAAAAATTAGAATAAAATATAGTACTTACTATTAGGGGAAGGTAATGTGGTTTACGTAATGGAATGTTCGAGAAGGCTATGAAAAATATCTGGAATGAATAAGAGGCGAAGATTGGCCCTGTGGAAAGTTCGGGAACAAAGTGAGATATTTGGTAGTAGTAGATTTTTTGGGGTTGGATATTTTATGTGGAGGCTTCTCGTGTTTTGTGTTGATTAATCTGTTGTAAATGGACGGTGATGATGCGATAGCTACTACGTTGATTGGCCTTTTTTAAATAGAGAGATCTGGTTGTGACACGTTTGTTTGAAGAATTCAGGCTTTTGACTGGCTTCTCGACTTATCGGGCTTGCAATGCATTACACGTATGGATTTGGTACATTTGGAAATGATAAAGCAAATAAATAAATAAATAAAATAAATCATTTACCCTTTCCTTCTCTCAAAAAATTTTTATTTAAAAAAATGCATTATTTGTTAACTCATATATTATTTTTGTTTGCATTCATTATTATCTATTCAAATCAAATATACTTGGAAAAAAAAAATGAATCCAAGTGTTAAAAGAAGAATAAATAAGTAAAATTTGGGGTCAATCTGTTTTTTTTTTTAGTAAAAAATATATACATTGACACGTCTAAATAAGGAAGAAAAAAAACCTTTATTTGTGAGAGAGAGATGTAGTATTTCTTTATTATTTAGTTAGTGAATATTATTAAGTAAACTAATCAGTTTGTTCTCTTATTTTTTAAAATGTAATAAGAAAAATGATTTAGTATGTTCTTATATAATCGGATAAGCTTTTAATATGTTTTAATATCTTAAAATGAGTCAATGATGTCTATATATTTTAATTGAATTTTCAAACTATCATTCCGATGATATTTTTTGACAAACTATAAAAAAATATCGTTTAATTTGCAACATGACCTTAAATCAATAATATTCTTTGATCGAATGAACATGTTTAAGTCACCATTCATCAACAAGTACAACATCTTGTTTTTTAAGTAAAAAGTTATGGGATTTGTGGTGTTGGGCACGGTTTTTTATGAAATGTTAATGATTTGTGGTGAAAGAAATTAAATCATACACATGGAGGAAAGGTCTCCTAATTAACAAGTGGTATGACACACGAGTAATAATCACATGAAGCATGTTGGGTATCATATTGATCCTCCTTGAAAATTCACCACAAAGAGGCCTCAAGTTCGGAAGGAAGTGTTGTCAAAGGTCTTAAGAGTAGTTGGTGTCTAGTTCACAAATCTCTCATTAATGCATTCACCTCTCAAGTGATATGATATTCAAAAAGGAACAATTATCAATGAGGATTTTACGAATGAAAAATCATTCACCTTACTCTTCATATAGAGTGGCTAGTTATGGTTTGTCTTTTCTATATAATAACTAATATTGACGAAGAACACACCATTCTCATGATAATTTACTATTTTTCTTGCAAGATAGTTGGTGGCAAAACACTTGTCATAATCTTTCTTGGATATTTGAACAATTATCGTCACATTTACTTATTTGGATTCCACATCAAAAGATAAGGGATTAGCAAATATTGTGCAATTGAGCCATCAATGTCATCTACTTCTTCCACATAGAGTGTGGTATGGTTAAGAGCGACCGAGTAAATCCGCTTGTCAAACTCTTCTTTATCTAACTTAGTTGGGTCATAAAAGTGGCATTTACTTGGATATTGTGGCAATTTTAGGAGATTTTCTCTCGTTCAATTTGTTATGAAATAAAAAATTCAAATGGCAACATTTTTTATCTAAGGCCCCACGTATCTTTGATATCGATGACACTTGAGATTTGCCTTGTTCTCTTGATCAAACTTCACTTACACAAGGATAAAAACCTCGTCAATCATCTAATAATTTAACAAATTATGGACTATGTACATGGTCCAATGAAAAGATAGTGGTGGATTCACTTTCTAAAATGACGACTCAAAAAGCATTTCTTTTATTCTTCGATTGTATTACTCGTTTAGCTAGTTGTCATTCACTAAAATACCCCTCTTGGTGCCACTAATAGCAAGGGTGGAGTTCTTCTTTCTAGAAAAGATAATGGATCAAGTTATTAGTCCGGTGAGTGATTTCTACTAAAGTAGAAAAATTGGTCAAGTCTAAATTTTCAAAATATATTTTGTATCCTCTCGTACATACCTTGGATACGTGGCATGACAACTTCTTTTTTATCGAAACTCTCTTGGATATCTAGGATAATATATCTAAATTGTCCATTGTTGTCATAACCCAAAAATTTTCCCCTTAAATGTTTTTATCTTTCTTTTTTATTTTATTTATTTATTTTATTTTTACTATTTTTATTTTAGAATTTACTATAAAAAAATACAAAATATAAAAAATTAATTACATCGAGAGGGTATGATTGAAGAAAACGAATTGAAATTTAAGCAATTAAAGATACAATTGAGGAAACTGAAAACTTCAAGACCAAAGTTACAAGACATAAGGACCTAATTAAACATATTAGAAGTACATGGATAACAATGACTCACCTAGATGGTACAATTGAGATAAAACTAAACCTACATAAACCTAAATTGATATGAGGTGTGGATGATAGGACAAATTCGAAACCAACTCGAATGACCTATCATCCGAATGCTCCCATATCCTATCATGGCATGCTTGCCTAGCCTTGTAACCATCATCTGTTACTTTTCATCCCTATTAATGGCTAAAGGGATAGAGTCGGTCAACCTTACAACTCCTACAATCGCATCAATTTCTTGCTCCTGTACCAACCTACACAAACAAAAACTTTAAAATAGGTAAAAAGACAATACATAGTCACAAAACATAATTGTTTTGACTTTGTTCATACAAACCAAAGCCGATAACCAACTGGAAAGTCCGTTTGGTCGAGGGGAGTTTTGGACTTAAGGTAATTGATCTTTAGATTGAGGAAGATGATTTTGGGTATAAATTAGGGTGGAATTTAAGGTTTTAAAAAGTAATATTTTGGAAGGAATTAGGAATTGAGAGGGGATTGAGGAATTGTTAAAAAGGAAAAAAGGAATTGGGGAATTATAAGAAAAAAGAATTAGGAAAAACATGAAAGAGTAGAGAAAGGGAAACTATGGGAAGTCCGAAGGAATTATGGGCGAGAAATAGTTAACGAGGAATTATGGGGAAACTTTAAAGAGGAGAAAGACTTAAGACAAAGACAAATAGAAAAAAGTTAGAGAAGCTTACCAAGTCTGTGAGGGGAAAAGGGACACTAGAATCATCCACATCAAGAACATCATCTATAGATTTTGGGTTCCGAAGGACCTCGTTCTACTAATTGAGAGAGCCATTGCCTATCGCCATAGCCACTACATCTTCTTACCCGAGCTCCATTGGTCAACTAGTCAAGTATGAAATTATGGTTTATTTTATTTACAACACCATCAATTATTGTCAATCCCATGATGATAGTGATTTCATCACTACCATAGCACCAAAATCTCCCACTTTCTTGAATTATTTTCAAACTCGGGACTTGTAAGATAAAGAAAAAAATGGGTTTTTATGTCATGAAAGGGCTAGGTTTTAGGTTTGGTCAATTCAATTTTAGAGGTTGAGTATAGGTAAGGGTTCAATTAGAGAACTAATTAAAATCTAGGATTTCTAATTTTGAGAGGTAGGAAAGAAGTTTAGGAAATTTGATGAGAAATTTAGGGTTAAGGCTAGATTGAAGAAGGACGTAAGGTATAGTGGTTCTAGGTCAAAAGGGAAAAAGAGGAGATTGAAGGAAGAATAGAAACTAAGGTTCTAGTCCATAGAAGAGAGAGATTGATCTATCTCGAATTTGAGGGAAGGGGTAAAGAATCTATTCTAAATGGTGCTGAGAAAGAGAGATCATTTAGATTTCGGTAGGAATTTTAAGGTTTTAATTGAAGGAGGAGGAGGAATCCTTCCGGAATGAGCAAAAGAAAAAGGCTTAGGAAATTGATCTATTTCCTAGGGATGATTTAGGAAAAAGAAAGGTAGAGAGAAAAGAAAAGATGGATTTGTAGTGTGGATGAACTAGGTTGAAGGAGATAGAGAGGGAAAAAGAACTAGAGATAAGAGACAAGAGAGAGATGAGATCTAAAAAATTTGATTGAAATAGATTTAAGAGAGAATGAAAAATGTGTTAGGGGAATGGGGTTTAGGCCGGGGGTTAGCTAAGCCTAACTTACATGGCTAAGGGTTAGGCTAATCTTAGCCTAGCCTAACTTGAGAGAGAAGAGGAAAGGCATGCCGACTCAATGGACTTTGTAACCCCCGTGAAATTCCTTAATCTTACTATACGTACTGATATATTATATCTATATATGAAGTATTTAGTGCAATTAATATTTGGAGATAGTAATAAGCTTTGTGCTTATATGAGGAGTTACGGGATTCAAAAAAAAAACAAATTCAAGCACGTCGTAATTTTAATTCTAGAGCCAAAATATCTTTTAAAATATCCATAATTATGTGAGTATAAATTATGTGTCATTTTTTTTATATTTGTGGTGCAAAAATATTTAAGGTTTATGGAAGTGTTCATAGGAATACCCTTTTTGAGAATTTAATTAGCCATTATTTATTTTTCCATAATGTTATATTTAAAATGACCATGTAAGTAAAAGAATTACCCAAACAAGGTGCATGGCTGAATTTTAGGAACCAAATGAGGTAAGAAAGTTGGTTAGTTTAGTTAGTTTAGTCACCTTTTTAGTTCCTATATTTAGTACTTGATTTGACACCAAATCTATCACTTTTTCTAAAAGTGTGACACCTAGCCCAATTGGATTTTTAATCGGTCAACTTATTTCCCATTTAGTCCCATCATTTGACCTTTGTTTACCATAAAATTTTGACACTTGGACTATTAATAAATGACAGGAAAAGTGTGATATAAGATTTGAAAGAAAGCTTAAGTCTTGCCATTTTTCTTGAC